CTCACAAGCGTGTCCAGGTCCCTCTGAATGGGACTACCTTTGTACCCACAGGTGAGACCTGAGTCATGCCAGTTGGGTGTGATCCCTCCTGATGATTTATAAATAAGCCCTAGAGTCATCCTGGCCTCACCCTCTTTGCAGAGGTCTGCCAAGGTAGGCAGAAAGCAAGGGTTGTGTTTCTTCCTGGCATTCATACAGGTTTTGTTCCTCTAAAACTGCTTTGAATTTGGTGCATGAAATTTTAGGGAGCACAGCTCCATAAGGGAAATGAAAAATCCCAATAGTTCTTCAAATCCATTATTGAATATCTGGAAGAAGGTGTGCATTATGCAATGGAATATATTTGGCAGTCTTAAAAGAACATTTCTTTCTTGCTCAAAGGTGAAAAGCCCATGTCTTTAACAGTTTCTACTTCCCTATGTGTTAGTATTTGGGATTAAGTTATCTATTCACTTCGGTGCACATCTCCCAGATTTCAGTCTGTCAGTGATGAGTTACAAGCTGCCGTCAAACCCTCCATGTACTGTTAGCAAGATGATAAATAAGTACCTGCCAATAGGCAAGGCAGAGCCCTAGCTGAAAATGTTGCAATTGTAAAATACAGAACATTGTGTTCACAGAGTGTTTAGTAATGTCAGCCTGTACTGGCTCCTAATTCCAAAGGCACAACTGTCTTTGGAAGCTTTTTGTTGCCTTTTAATACCCAGTTGAACACAGGTGTGCCACTTAATTCCCATAAATTGCAAAAGCATCTCAGCATGAAAGGTCATGTAAAATAAGTAGATGTTATAATCCTTACATTTGAAATGTGTGGCAATTGTGATAAAACTTTCTGAGGGTTATGTTGGACATCTTGGTCATTATCACTGTCACTAGAAAAACAAGAACCTTCACACAGTAAATCCAGAATGTGTAAAACCAAAATGATTTTGGTTCCTGGAGAAGTAGTGGTCTAAAGCATTTTGACCTGAAGCACATTTCTTTAGCCCCACTAAATCTTTGATATATGGGCTTTCTAAAGTCTTCAAATTAAACACTTCATCTTCTGTCAACTGTTAACGGTATATGAAACGAATTGAAGCAGAGGTGCAGAACAGGCCAGTCTGAAACTGGGTTATGCAAACTTAGGGTTTTTTTAAAGTACAGGCCTACGACAGTTCATCTAAAGAAAATTTTAGCATGTATTAAATAGCTTTTCTACTGGACTACCTCCAGTGCTACTGTTTAACAATACAGCTGGTTTCAGGCATGCTTTTAAATCCTAGGGGAAACATCTAGAGAGTGTAAAAGACATTAAACCTAATTAAATGTTTCCTATAAAATGAAGTTTAAACAAGGAATATCCTTTCTGACATTCTCAATGCTATTTTATAATTCCAAAGAAGTACTACTAAGTTCTAGCAGAGCTTTAAAAATTCTGCAGACACATTACTGTTTTCTTTCAGGTTTGTAAGATGCTAATGCTCAGAGGATTGTAACCGTTGAATGAGAATCCGTACAATCTTTTTAAATGGATTTTCGTGGTCCAAGGGAAGAAAACTGTTATGCAAGCAGGCTGAGGGAATGAGAAAGTGCTTCAGCCTTGGACTTTTCTTCTTGAGCTTTTCTACAATATTGATGCAGTTGAAATATAATTTGCATGCAAGTTTTAGACTCTTTTTAGGTCCGTAATAGAGCTTTGCTAGGTATAATATTTTTTTTTAAACAGAAAGTTTACCAGGTATATGATGCATGCAGGCCTCTTCATGTCCATGATAAGGTTATAAATGACCCTTTCATTATGAACTTAGCATGCTAGTGCCACACTACTACAACTACCTCTTGTTTGTATGGAAAATTTCATCATATCATGCTGCAAAATCACTCCTGTTTCCAGTGAAGGGCTTGATTTTTCCCACCCAGCCCTATTTCAGTCTCAGCTCCATCAGACCTTGCACAACATTTGACACTGAGCTTTCCCCAGATGTTGCAGCACTAAGCCTGGTGTCTGGGGCCTTCCAAGCAACAGGATTTCAACTGCTGGCCTCCCCACAGAAGAGCAAACCCCCAGCACATGGGCAGAATTTCTTTTCCCACCTCATACGCCTACATTGGTGTTTTAAGCCTATCGCCGGAGTCAGTGGAGTTCAGTGTGTCTATGATTCATCTGAACCACTGTTGGTTCCCATTTTCCATGGGAGTGAATGTTATTTTCAGAGCAGTTGCTGCTGTGGGAGGATCCCAAGGGCCTCCCTAAGGTACCAGCTCCATGATGGTGCCTGCACCAGGTGAGCCTGGAGCCAGCTAAGATGCTTCCCACCGTCTTTCCTGCTTTGTCAAGTGCTACAGGATTTATTAATTGCTTTTCCTACTGCACTGAAGGGGTTTGTAGTTGTGATCAGACTGCTCACAGGCCAGCCTGGGCAAGCCAGTGTTCGATGTCTTCTGGTCGGCATGTGCCACCAGCCGGGTTAGCAAACAAAGGGACTTTCTTCCATGTTGACCCGATGCCCCTGGGCTATTCATTGAAGCTGTGAAAGCTTTGCCTCCCACACAGCAATCTGGGAAGCTCCCGGAGGGGCTGGCTTTAGTTTCCACAGCCCACACCAAGAAAGCCTGGGCACTTGTGGTGGGGGTGACCACTGCATGGGTTCAGCACCCACTGCCTTTCTGGGGCTTGCTTAAACCTCGCATCTCTTCAGGACAGAGACGCAGAGAGCAGAGCCTGAAGGGGACAAACCGCAGCATTTGTTCTTCATGTGCTCACCTGGCTTGCTGCTTTTGGAGCTGAATTGTTGTCCTTTCACCTGGAACACTGCTGATGAAAGGAAGGGCCAGGCACAGCAGCACATGCTGCTCCTGGCTCATAGCTCATGGCTCAAGCAGATGTTCATTCTCTTCTAGGTAGCAGGAACTTTCCTGGTCATTTTCCTGCCCTCCTCTTGGCCCCATGCAAATCCCAGTTGAGTTGACATCTGGAAACAGGCCTTTAGGTTATGGCCAAGACCCCAGCATGCAGTCATCCAGTGTTTGACTGATGACTGGTTCCCAGAAACCATCATGTAGGAGGACCAAAGCCTCACTAGGAGTTTTTTATTACATTCACAAACTAGTTTGACTAGTTTTTAATGGTCAGTCAGTACTAAAATACTGTTTTGGGGCAGTTCTATTGTAACTGTCCTTAACTGATTAGACTTTCTAACTATGTGCATGGCCTCCCTCCTGCAAGCAGGAGGGCAGACTGTGGTGTTAATACTTACATTTTCTGCATATAAGGTTTGTGTTTATTTTTCAGTTCATCTTTTCTTGGCATATACTCTTGCTTTCTTGATCTCTGGGTGACCACATCCACTATATTTAGCAATAACCTTCTGTGGAAAAAAAAAATATTAAAAAAAGAGAAGCAACTTACTGAATAATACCAAGCTAATGTCTTACAAAAGCTGTACATCAACACAGAAGATAACATGATAAAAACGTCAGCCATGAAATTCAGTACAGGAACAGAAACACTGCTGTCAAGAAGCGGAAAATGTGCTTATGTAATGTTATCTGTAAACGGTTACAGCTGCTGTTGATGTTAACCACTCTGAACAGGTCATGGACATGCTAAATAAAAAGCCATTCTCACTAACAGCTGTGCACAAAAAGAGATGATTTCCTGATGCACTGGGCAGAGTGCTGATACAAGGGGTATTAAGGGGTTACTCTGTATTTACACCATCATCGCCAAGAATACAGTTATAGCTCGGTCTAGTTAATTGTCCTGACAAGGATGCAGAGCTGGCCTGGTTAAGTAATTAGACCTGTAAGGGAAAAGGGGGTTGTGTGTGGAAGGACCTAATGCATTCAGTTATAATGAGCTACTGCTGCAGCAAAGCTATCTTTTGTGGAGAACAGCTCTGTCTGTGAAAAATGGTTTATTCTGACTGAAACAGGAACTTGTGCCTTGCAATATTTCAAAACGATTTGGAACATTCATTCTAGAGGGTGTGTTTTCTTTAAGCAGTAACAAAGACAGTAAAAGATCTTTAGAGGCAGTTTTTCAGCCAGTGATCCTAAAGCATTTCACAATTGTAAATCACTCGAGCCTACGCTAGGTAGGAAGATTGATTTTGTTACCTCCATTTCATGTATGAGATAAGAGAAGGACCTGGAGCACATTTCAATTTGAAATCATGTCATTGTTCCCCTGTAGTACCCCTGCCTTCTTGGGGCACATGCTCAGACAGCAGCACTAATAAGTGTCCTGGAAAAGTAGCCAAAATAAGATGGAGCAGAATAGACCAAATGTCTTTTGATCAAATATTTAGGTGAAAGGATTGTACTGCCTGGTTTTTCCTGCTTTGACTTTCTGGAAGGGGCTGCCACTTTGGCAACCAGTGCCAGTATAATAATTACTTAATAAGTATAGGACTTGCCTGCTGTTGCCCATGGTGGCAGGTTTTCTGCTGCAAAGCTCCCCAGGGGAAGTCGTTCGCTAGTTTGTGTCAGGTAAAAACCCAGTGTGCATAGAGAAGACAGCCCACACCACGTACAAAGCGGAAAGCAAATCCCTCAGCCATCCAGGGAGCGTTTGGCAGCTGCGTCTTCCCAATGCCTGTCCCAGCCAAACTCACTGAAACTGGTTGTTGGTGCGGAGAGCTCCTCAGTCAGTAGATCACAGAAAGTTTCGTAAGCTGTTAATTATAGAGTGCACTAATTGAATGGCTCTTGAATGACTCGTGAGGTTGACTTACAGTGGTTTGCTTCTTTTTGCTTATGCAGCCCACCAATTTTCCCTCCAAGGAAGAGATTATGTCTATGAACCCTACGTGTCTGGTTGTGATTATCCTCCTTTTCATAAGTATCATTTTGGCTTTTAAGGTAAGTTCATTACTGTGTATAATGTCTACATCTGGTCATGGGTGGAATGTCCCTTGCTGGGAGGCCTGGCCTTAGAAGAGATCTGGGGAACTTCAGACCGGGCAGCCTGACTGCTGTACAAAGCAAAATGATAGGCATTATGGTAAAAAGGCAGAAAATCTCAAACACATGAACATATAGGCCACGGTGGGGAAACATGATGCTGTAGGGGCAACTCATGACACGTAAATCCTTTGAAGGAGCAGGTTGTTCAGTAGACAAGGGAGAGCCTGTTGATACAGACTTCTTGTGGTTTTGTCAAAAGGTCTTTGGCAAAGTCTGTCATCAAAGGCTTTAAAAACCACCCTCAGATGTGTAGGGACACAAGAAAAGGTCATCTCACAGACTGTAGCTAGGAAATAGAGATTAAGGATAAATCATTGTTTTTTACAACAGTGAGACTCATGCTCATGAAAGATCTGGGAAGGGGAAGGAAATCTACAACAACACTTTTCTGCAATGTCATTCAAAACAGAGAAAACAGTCAGCCAAGAAAGCTTTGCAGAAGGAGCTCATTGCACTGAGTGACTGAGCAATGAAATGGCAGACAAGTTCAGTGGTGACAAATTCCAAGTGGTGGGCATAAAGGAAGCACAATCTTGTTTTGCAGACACTGCAGTGGACTCTGAACTGAGCATGACCACCTGGAAAAGGGATCTTGTAGCTGTAATAGCTAGACCTGTGAAAATATTAGCTTTCAGATCAAACAAGTAAATAAAATGTTAAGAATATTAAGAAAGGAATAGAAAAAAAAAAAAAGAAATCTAAAGATTTCTTTGCCAGTTTTCATGCCTACCACCTCTGGAAGTACACATTCCCTTCTGGTGCCCTATCTCAAAAAGGACGTTGTAGAGCAGGTAAATAGATACAAACAGTCCCTCCTGGGAAGGACAATGTAAAGGACTGTCACACCAGGCAGCAAAAGGAGTGACACAAGGAGTGATGATTTAGTTGCTGTTACACAAACCTCATGGGTGAGGCTCTAGCAGTGGTAGATGCCAGATAAATGAGAGATACAGCATCACCCAGCACAGCCAGAAAGGGCTCATGTGAAACCACTGCACCCAGGTTTGTGATCCAGCAAGGTTGGCCCTTACCTGCTGTGCAGGGCAGAAGTCCAAAAGGAGCTCAGAATAAGATCCTACAAATCAGTGTATGAAAAACAACCAACCTGTGGACCTCCTGAAAAGTACGCTGGTATGTTTGCCCTCGTCTTGCACCCTTCTGCAAGTTTCTCACAGCGCAGTGCTACCATTCTTGTATTTCTCATGCTGGGTTTTATTTCAGAATAGTTCTTGCTCTTCCTCTGCACAGCAATTATGCATTAGATGAGAGAAGTCCCAAAGAGCCACAGCAACACCAGGGATGTTGCTTCCCGACAACACATTTGACAACATGAATAGGGGAAGTTATTGTGACAAAAGAGGTAGATTAGATTATTGAAGATTCTTCAAAATTGAAAGAAAAAACCCCAAACCAAGGCACAGATAGGGTATTTTAAGGTACTGTTGGAAGTAATAGTCACTTTTTTTTCTGTCATTTAGAAATATAATTGAGCTTCTGGCTTTACATGTTCACAGCCATACAGTCGGTTTGTTGGCTTTTTTGCACCTTTAAGAAATATGAATGAATGTAATGAACACGTAGATGTGTCAGGTGCCACAAGGGATGTGCTCTTAAATTTCTCAGATGCAAGCATTAGCTCATTTTTACTCCAGGTCTGGTATTTCATTGACCTAAGTATGGCAGAGAAGTCTTAAGCTTACAAAGATAAAATTGAACTAAAATTGGAATGGCAAAAATGCTTACTACAGAAGAAAGAAACCTAAGAAATTAATAATTAAAAGACTAATTTTGTTTTAAAGTGGCTAACACATGTTTTTTCCAAGAATATTTGTGGCTCATATAATGCTCATTCTAGCAACATATTATCGTGCAAATGAGTCACAAAAAATATGACTCATGCAGAAATACATGCTAAATTACAGTTAGCATTTTCATTTGAATTTCTTGTGTTCCCAGAAGAGCTGCTATGCAGATTTATGTAGTCTGCTCCATGAAAAGAAAGCTGGACACTATGAGATGCATCACACTTTATCACTGATAGACTTAACAGATGGTACCACATTTATACATTGAAACTGAAAAGGTACTGTGCATAAAAATATGCTTGAGCTCCCTCTCCCTCTGGAGCGCAACAAGAAATAGGGAGAGAAACCAAAACCTTGTAGCCTAGGAAAAGCTACAGTAGGAAAAGCTGCATTCAGCTGGTGGGAAATGTGAAATGGAATCACATAATTCCTCAGAAACATTTGGCATCATGACGCTTTTGTTTTGAGTGAAGCTACATGTAAAGGAAAGCACTGTTGAGCAGAAATCAAGATATAGCAGTATTATATGGTGGTTTTGTGCTTTGCTGTAATGGGATTATGAAAAGGGAAGGGGGAAAAGAGAGGTTAGCAAGAAAGCGAGCCAGTTAGCTACACATAAGCACTTGTCTTTTTAGTCCTTAGGATTTACTTGGATCTGAAGCAGCTAATGGATATTTCAGGTGCTTTCACAGGATCTTTTTCAGAGTAGACCAAATGTGTTATGCCATTTACTGTGTTTGTTTAGAAACTGAACCAGAGTTACATACCATGAAACATATGTGTTTCCTATCTGGCTGAGGAAGTACATCCAGCAGCACAAATGTGTTTATATACATGTACACAGGATTTCAAACACCATATGGCCAACACAGTGGTTTTTGAATCGTGCCTTCCTCTACACCTGGTTTGGGGAACAGGGTCTTGGTTTCCCTTGGCCAGTCCCAGCTGCTGAGGCAGAACGGTTGGGGCTTCAACCTCTCCCTCCTCACCCTGGGTGAAGACCCCCAGGCCCAAATGAGCTAAGCTCTGGTAACCATAAACACAACCAGAACAGGTTGCTCTGAGTACTCTGCAGCTGCAGAGTATGGCCTCTTCTTCTCTTCTTTTTTGGCCTTTCTTTTGGAAAGGAGATTGGAAGAGGTAGTTGCCAGTGGGACAGCTGAAAGGTGTTCCAGTTCAGTGAAACAGGCGGCTGTCTTCAGCAAATGGAATATTAACCCTGCTCTCCATAATATGCCTATAACCTGCATGTACAAGGTGTCAGGCCTGGAGATGAGACCACTTTGCACGTCCTGGTGTCCTCAGCAGATGGGAAAAGGTGATACTGAATGAAGTTCTACGCTCACCCTGAGACGTCTCATGTCTCAGCCCAAGGAGATGCCTCCTGGCGGGGAGACCCTGAGCTGCAGCACTCCCAGGAATGGCCAACACAGAGCCACGAGGTTGCCACCTGTTCCATAAAAGCCTGGGACAGGTCCCAACACTGGGCTTGCTGGTGGCAGGATTCTTATAGGAGAAGCATCTCTAAAGCAGGGGTCATTTGCTTTAAATTGCATACCCTAGGATGTGTGATTTGTGAGCCAACAGATGATGTCCTGGCCTGTAACTGTTGCACACCGGTGGTCTGACATCATGAATTCTTGTATTTCTTTGCAGTTGTAAAGAAATGCAAGAATTTACAACCTTTTCATACTCACGAGATACTGAGAAGTTAAGATTTAATTGCAGATTTCATCAGCACAGCAACCCATTGTTTCTCTTTCTGCGACACCAACATGTCAAATACACATGGTCTGCCATTAGCATCCTTCTGAAATCTTCATATAAATTTCATTTTGTGTAGAAATCTTTATCTCATTTTCACCAGTTACTGAAGAGCAGCCCAGCTCTGTAAATAGAAAATTCAAAGCAGATGGAAAAACAAAATGGGACTCGGTGCAGACAGCTCCAAACCCGAGGGAGCTCTGTCGGGTCTGTGGCCATTCACCCTGCGCTTGCTGCCAGCAAGGGAGCAGCCCAGAGGGCTGCTTTGACCCAGATAGGCAGACTTCTTGCTGTGTTACAAGAAACAGCAGGATACAGCAGCCTCTAATTTCCACAAAGATGCTGGTCAGTCAACTGGTTGGACACATGTCTGATGAGCAGAAGTTGTGCAGTACATTACTTCGTTATGAAGCTTAACAAGTGCATGTGCAGTAACAATGGTGAGAGGCAGGGTTATAAGTTTCATGGGTTTCAGTTCCTTAGGGGCTCAAGTCATTTCTCATCATTCAAAGGGGAAGACTGAAATGTAGTAAAAGTAGGCACAATGCCTGTTTCCACATTTAGCCCTTCTTGTGCACTCATCCTTTCACGTGGTGGCTGCTTGGGGCTGCCCCCCAAAAGGTGTCTTGTCAGCAGCCTGTGCTGTGGTGCGCAGGAACACCACTAAGGGCGGGTTAGGCTGCAGTGATTTAGCGCCTTTACACGGGGCCTATTCCAACTGTGAACATTGGTCTCCTGAGAGAAAAATGAATATATTTATATTCAGCCACACATTTTAATGCAGTATTTGAAACCTCAGCTAAGTTTTTCAGGCAAAAAATTGTTAACTGAGTCAGCAATCCCATTTAACGGTGCAGCAGCATCAGTAGTAAACAATGATTAGGAACAAGTTCAAAGAAGTTACAGGTTGAGGAAAATGAGTTTCCATGACTCATGATTCACAGGCCAAAGCACTTGGACAAGTACATGCTCCAAAAGCTGCTGCTGCTCTCAGCTGTCTGTGGGTCACTGTCTTGGGGCCAATTACTTGGTGTGTGCTGGCTAATGACCTTTTTAATTGAAGGGCTGGAACGGACCTCACCCACTGAGAAACAACCCGTGCATGCAAGAGCAGGGCTGATTAGAGCTAGGGCTCAGAGCTGCAAGAGCTGTAGGGGTTCATTACGGGGTTAAATGTGTTTTATTCACCGCATGTAATGGAATTGGAGCATTTAAAAATAAATCTCCTGCTAGCGTCTCCCAGATAAGACAGTATTATCTGAAATGGGGCTTCCCTCCATTTGGATTTTGACAGAAGGAGTATAAAAATTGGTTTGCAAATAGGGTAGGCTTAATGTAAAGGGTTTCTTATGAAGCCGGGCTATATCCCCATGGAAAAGAACTGTATTCAGTCTCTGTTCTGTACTAGTTCTTATGCCTTTCTCAGCACATAGTATCTGAGCATTGAAAGCTACTGAACTAATATTACTGTTTATAATTAACAATGGCATTTTATTTAATTCTGGAAAAGATGCAGTTTTCCATGCATATGCCTTTGCTCCGCTTGTTCCAGTAGCCTGGGGCAGGTTTGCATAGCTTAGGCTGTAGAGCCAGTCTAACCTTCCTTTTGGGACTCTGCTTGCTCCAGAAGCCTTTTGCTCTCCCCATTTTATGGTCAAAAGTATTGTGAAGTCTGCAACACCTCCAGGTCACCCAGGGTCTGTAAGATGCCATAGAGAAGAGGAAGCAAATTTACTGGATTTCCGCCAGCTCAGCCCTGGCTGAAAAAACCTCTTCCTGATCTGCAAGCGAGCCATCAGTGAGTCATGTGGCATCCTGAAAAACACAGCTCATGTGTGACAGCTCTGCAGAGGGAGGAAGCACAGGACAGCTCAAAAGGATAAGAGGCTTTTGGAAGGTCATCAGTGCAAGTGAGTCACAAAAGCATGACTCACTCAGCGAGGCACAGATGCAAATCCAGTCAGTGCTGGCAGTTTAATTTGCACGCGCTAGGTTTGTGAAAGAATTGCTATGCAGAACCTACGGAGTAAAAATATAAGTTGGGTGCTATCAAAACAGATTGTTCTCTGCACCACTGTCATGTGTGACTACATGGGAAGCAGAGAGCTCCAGAGGGAACTGCTTAGTCCCACCAGCCTTGTCCCTGGCATGCTGAGAATCTGGTTCCTGCTCCTCCACATGTGTTACTGCTACCTGTCTTCCTTACAGTCACTTTGCTAATCTCTGCTGGCCAAACTCATGACTCTGCTGGTGGAGATGATGGACGTGAGCACTTTGCCCAACCAGTTCCAAAACAGGTTGAGACAACTAGCTGTTAGCCAGGCAGCAGCCCCACCCAGAGCCAAGTGAGCTCCAAGACCAAAACCAGTGAAGTTTATGATTCTGTGGTAGGATTATTGCTACAATAACAGGGGTTTTTTTGCTTTATACTGGGGAAAAAAAAAAAAAAAGAAAAGAGAAGAATTTGTAATAATGGTTAAAAGGTCAGAAATAATGTCAGATTTCAATTAAAACTTTAACACTGTCATGTTGCTCTAGACAGGCAAGAATAGGAAGACCCCTGACAATCCAGTCATATGGAATACATTGATGTAATGTCAGATTAAGTGAAACAAAGTATTGAAATAGTGCATCCAGGCTAGAAGATAAGGAAGGTTTCCTGTAATTTTCTTGGTGATTTTTCAGTCCCCAGCATGCTTGTGCTCTTTTTACTGGGATTTGCTTCCAGCAAGACAGCATGTGTGACCTGCTTATTTAAGTAAAATGGGGGTTATATACACAAAATTATGCTGCTTTAGCTATATTCAGGCCCCAAGAAACTGTTCCTTTTCAAAACAATTAGTCTACCTGAAGTATGCTGTAATATTAAATACCTGGAATAGTAAATTCCATTCAGATAGGTCTAGGTTGCTCAATCTCCGCCTAGATGGAGCAGCTCATAGTGCAACACAAGTATCCATAATCACAGAACTGTATAATCACAGAATGGTTTGGAGTGCAAGGGACTTTTAAAGGTCATCTAGTCCACCCCTCTGCTGTGGGCAGGGATATCTTTCACTAGACCAGGTTGCACAAAGCCCCATCCAACCTGGCCTTGAACAGTGCCAGGGATGGGGCATCCACAGCTTCCCTGGGCAAACCTGTGCCAGTGCCACCGCTCTCACTCTAAGAAGTTTATTCCTTTTGTCCAGTCTAAACCTATGCTCTTTCAGCTTAAAGACACTGCCCCTTGTCCTGTCACTGCAGGCCTTGGTAAAAAGTCTCTCTCCATCTTTCTTAGAAGCTTGTTTTATATATTGAAAGGCCACAGTAAGGTGTCCCTGGAGCCTTCTCTTCTCAAGGCTGAACAACCCCAACTCTGTCATTATGAGTAATGGTGTTGGGTTACTCACAGAGCCCCTACACATACTTACAGTCAATGCAACCAGCAAAGTGACTGTCCCTTGCTTTTAGCAGGCTCATATTCTTATTTATATAAGAATAGAAATGCTCTAACAGAAAACTGTACATGGTTTATTTTCTGCACAGAATAATAAATCCCTTTTGTTTTCAGGGTTACTTGATAAGCTGTGTGTGGAACTGTTACCGATACATTAATGGCAGAAACAACTCAGATGTGCTGGTGTACATTACCACCAATGACACTGCGGTAAGGATGTTAGATCATATTTGTCTAATATTATATATTTAATAGCTTTATTTTATATTAAATTCTGACTCCTTAGTTAACCATATTAATTCCTTTTAAAGTTCTCATCTGTTGGTTATGTTTAGACTTGAGATTCAACAGACTGGTGTACTATGGTTACGAATCACATCTACTGCTATATTACTGTTTTTATTTTATGCATATAATCTGTTAAAGAATCTGTGTTAAGCATAAACTACAGCTTACCTTGTGGCCCCAGGAATGACCCCCAGTTCTGAGCTCTTCAGCTGTGTGATGGTCTGGACAGTGTGGGGGACTGATTAGGACCCATGGATGCCATGATCTACATGTGCCGTGAAATGTGGATTTCACTGTAGAAACTGTCATTTCAGGCACTCAACATCTGATGTAGTGCTTTACACACTCACAGAGAGGAGCTAAAAGGCAACAAAAGTTCAGTGATTCATCTCCCAGCACATGATGGGCTTTGTATAGTAAGGAGACAGAATAAAAAAAAGAGATCAACATGAAAGAAATGAATAAGCAGGTTTTAACCTCAAAGAACGGACGGTATCAGTTCAGTTTGTAGTAGGTTAGTGCTGACATGGGTATGTGCAGGGCATAACTGCTAAGCAAGGTCTTGCTTGTTGCAGAAGGCACTGAAGGAACACAAGAAGAAAGTCCCTGGAAAGCGCGGTTCTGTTTGCAGCAGTATCTCCGTGGAGCTGCTTGGTTCCACCCAAGCTACACACTGAGAGCATTGTGCCAAATTGGTCCCTGGGTGACTCCACTGGCTTATGTAATGAGGGTCTTTACATCATTTACATAACAGAATGAGAGCAGCATGAACTTGGTCCTTTGGATCATCTGGGTTAAATTTCAGGATTGCCTTCCTCCAGTTTTCCTAATCATGGGTGGTCTCCGCACACTGAGGTATTAGACCTCAACTTTAAACCACTGGAATGAGTATTCCTTTGCAGCTGTCAAAAAAGCCACTTAGAAAACTGTTACTACTCTTGCATGAAAGCTGTAACTCTTGCGTAGTTACTTGTCTTCAATACCTGAAGCTTTAAGAAAAGCGTAAAAAGTTTTACAGGTTATGATCAGAGCTGGCAACCAGGACTTTTAAGTATAAAAACATGGGTTTATTGAAAGCTAAGAAGTATATAAGAATATACTTTCTTTACTGTGGGTAGTTGTAACTCATCTTCAAACATTTCAAACTCTACAACCCACAGAACTGGCAGGCTCACTGGTGGGAGAGTGTCAGCTGGAGTATTTTGAAAACTAAATTTACTAAGGCTTTTTAAAAGCTATATTAAAACCACTTGCTGCCTTGGCAAAGCAGAATCCTTTGGTTTTCAGAGATGCCTGGTTACCGAAACTCCTCTTGGCACTTTTGTAGTTAGTAATCACCAAAGTGCGCCCAGCTGCCTCCTCATCTTTAAAGCACTTGTGTTTCTGTGCAAAACAAAGCCATTTTATCCCACTGACAGATGACATATTCTTGCAGTGACAATTTAAATTAATTTTGCTTATCTTGATTGTACAAGACAGCTACAGAAGAGGCAGGTTTTGAGAAATGCTGTGCATTCCTAGCTAGTGCTCTGGCCCATTTGGCTCTTCTTTCCTTAATATTTACACTTCCTTAATTTGAATATGGTCTTGCTTTCAGGTGTGGTACATTTGTTCTTCATTCTTTCTACATCAGTTCAATGAGATGAGATTAGGTTAAATACTCATCATTATGCACTGTGAATCAGAAAATCGTTCTTCCTTTCCTTCACCCACTCAAGACAGACTAAAAAAGATACTTTTTTTCTATGTCTGCGTTGACAGACATAAGCAAGAACCACTCTTCAGATCACTGTAAAGAAGTAAGCTCAACACAATGGATAAAAAAGATTTCAAAATGAAGAACAGGGCTTTGAAAGTTGAGTGCTGAGGATCTTTGAGAGTTTAGGACTCCTGAAGAAACCTCATGAAATTCTGAACTGCTGTGACAGGTCACTGTTGAATTGAATAATATTCCTCCAACACTCAAGTGTACTTTTGTATTAAAACGATGTTTTCGTATATTTATTGATGCTGGGAAACTTCTTTTGGCATGACTCCTTCACACTGACATGCCTCTGAATTCTAAACTACCGGGTTCTTAAAAAATGTGGGTCAGTCTCTGCCCTCTGTTCTGAAAGAAATGTCTCATTTTTAGACTCAGACCTGCTGCATGAATCCCAACAGAGCTGGAGGTTGTATCTGCAGGGCATATTCTTATTTTCAGGGATTTTTTAAAATATATATACTTATAATCATCATTGCTGAAAGAATACGAATCTCTACAAATGGAGGTGAAAAGCTAAGCTTAATTATGGGACTGGGCAAAATTAGAATAACAGGTTTTAAATATACCCCATTACTTCCAAAAGCTAGAGATCGGATCCCACCTGATATCCCGTGTACTGCATAGTAATTAATGCATCTAATCTACACTTTACACAAATTTTTTTAAGTTATCAGATTTGCAAGTACATGGTATTACAAAGAAAAAACATTTAGAACAGAGTTTAGATATAGGCTAAAGTATGGGTTAGTTTTACCATGAAGCTTAAAAGGTCTGGTTTATATATTGGAATGATTAGAAATTCAGAATCTTTCTCCAGTTTCATTAATATTTTTGATGAAGCTAAGAAATTTATTATTCCAAACGCTTTATTACTGGGTCAATTACAATTTTTTGGGAGAGCTGTCTTTTAAAAATACCTTTAAAATTAAATGTATACCTTATTTCTGTTCTAATTAGCACTCAGGGGAAAAAAAAGAAATCCCTGCCTTCAATAACAAATCATCAACTAATTCATTCTTGAATTCAAAATTCTATATACCTGCAAGATTTGTACTGAAAATGGAAGAGGAATGGGTAAACCCCTGTCCCCTAATAACTCTAATTACAGGTGATTAAATAGCCATAAACAATTGCATTCATGTTATGGCTATTTGATGGTTGTTGTGTGCCATATTTTGAAGGGAGACCTATGTCTGTTGTAAGAGAAGGCATGTCACCTACAGTAGCTATTTTTATCTCTGGTCTGTTAACATCTTGGCAAAATCAAATTCTTGGATCTTCTATTGCCAGATAAATACAAATTTACTTATACTTTCACAAAGATTATAATTTTCCCTGTTCTAACTTTTGAACTAGGAATTGCCTATTTTACCTGCTCAGAACCCTTGAAAAGTGTACCTTCAGTTTAAATGGAAATATGGTATTAACGACTGAGCTTTCCTCAAGAAGAACTATCAAATCCTTACTAGCTGGGATGCTGTGGTGTGAGAGACAGGAAAGGTCCACAGTTACTTGCTGACTGCAGCAGCTGTGAACCCTTCTGAGATACTTCTTTCAGGTCTCTTTCTTAGGAAATAAGGAAACTTCTTTAATATAGAGTGTTAGGATTTGGTTCAAGAGAGTTAGAAGTTGTGATTGTATATAATTGGTTCTCCAGTCCAGGAAGTTGTTCTGAAAATAGTAACTGGATTATCTTTTGGTTTACTGCATTTCTTAATTTACCACTGGCAAGGTGTGTAAGCACACTTACACATCACATCCAGATTCAATTAGGAGAATGGACAGGTCCTTAAGCACAGCTGTGCAGGCCTGCTTTTTGTTCCTTGGCTCTCTGCATTCAGGAAGTCCTTGGTTGGTCTGGCAATTAGTTTCCCCCATTTCTATCTAAAGCAAATCCATCGTAACTCTGTAAATTCATATTGAGAGTGTCTCAACAGCAGTATTCATCTGTCATCTTCCTGGCTGGTTGCGTGGTGGAGACCTACTGGTGCGTCCTTCCAATAGCTGAGTTTTTGTGTTTTCTGTCCTCATAAAGCACTGCTCTCTGCCAGCACTGGTCACTGGCACTCTGCTGCATCTGTCATACCTTCTCTCATGCTCCTCGTGAGATGCTCTCTATAGACCCCTCTCTGTTACCAGAGCCCAATTCAGTAATACTTTATTTTTTAAAATATTCAGCTGTCTCTGTCTTCCTACTGGCTGTCTAACTGTCGTACCACTAAAAGCCATGGGAGCAACTTAAGTGTGGACAGAACTGGGGAGGAAATTCCCAGCACTGAAATTTCCAGTTAGGTCCCCCCCCTCAAACTGGTTCTTATAAACAGTGCTCATAGATCTGAACTGTAACTAACCTGATAGCCTGAGTTATTGGCTACCAGATAATCTGATTTTTGTCACTCAGAATAAGTGGTTTAAGCCATCCCTTTTTCAAGTGTGCCATCTGGAAAAGGACATCCTCTCCACTGCAGGCTGCGAACGGGATATTCCTGCCCCTGTTAGATGAGAGGTCCTCCTCCTGTGGTCCATGATCAAAGTTTAACATCACATGAACATACCTGTCTTGGCTCAGTAAACAGACTGTGTTGATGGATGGGGGGACCAGCAGGTGCTGGCAGGGGAACAGACCCCACCTGGTGGGAAGACATGACACTCTAATGCTCCAGGGGCTGATAACACCAGGACCTGGGGATCCATCTGCGTAGCTTAGTCACAGCAGAGTCTCTTAGAGATATGGTAACATCTCCCTCCTCTAAGTGTTCTTCCAGTACTACCCTCCCCTCATTTTCTGTAGGTATCTGTAGGATATTCTGGCATGGCAGCAAGGTAACTCCCCTGCAGTGAACCATAGTAACCTGAAGATTATTTTTTCCACTTTTCCAATCTGGGATTGCTTTTTCCTGTCAACTGCTCAAGCACACCATGGATGAAGATTAATTTTCTGCACTAATTTAAACTGTGACAGCAGTACCATGGAAATGTTCATCTAATTTGGAAAAAATGCCAGCTTCTGAGTGCAGAAGATAACCTAAAGTCAGCCGCTTCATTCTCTGGAGCAGGAACAGCTCCTTTGTGTTCTTGGACAGCCAGGGGATTTCATTCTGTTTATTTTTAACTCTCACTGAAGCCAATCAATGGAAGTTTCATCTCCGGTCATGCT